AGAAAAGAAAAAGAAGAAAAATTAGAAAAGAAAAGCAAAACAAAAGCAAAGAACAAGATATTCCTAGTCTCACAAAATTTTGCACACACTTTTCTTTGAACAGACATGCGGATGCCGCACAGAAAAATTAACATTTTATAAATAGTGAGCACAGTTGCAAACAGTTTGTTTTATTTGCCACAGAAAAAATTTCACAAATTGTGCGGTATTCACAGTAAATTTTAATTGAAAAAATTAACACTGGCAGCGAGATATTTTAATCACGTTTATCATTTCGCGTGAGATGTGCGAAATATCCAACCAATCACGCATGGTCGGGTAATATAAGTTTATTCTTCGCGATCTAGTATAAAAAAAAAAAATGTCAAATTTAAAAATTCTCGTTGGTAAGCATTTTTTTATCTTATCATAGAGTTTTAATTTATCAACCGATTAAATGATCTTATTTTAACAATGATAATAAGCCTGTAAACGAGTTATAGATTTTACAGTTAAGGTTCGGGTAAACGCGCAAAAGACTGCCGTCGAAACCGCTAATGTAAAACATTCTCTTAATCCTTTTGATGAAATTGCGATTGAGGAGGCAATAAGATTAAGAGAAAAATTAGGTGAAAATATAGTAAAGGAAATTCTCGCAGTGACTTGTGGTCCTTCTAAAGGTCAAGAACAGTTGAGAACTGCACTCGCTATGGGTGTGGATAGGGCTATACACGTTGAAATATCTGACGATTCGTATTCAAAATTACAACCTTTGGGTGTTGCTAAATTATTAAGAGCTATTGTTGAAAAAGAAAACCCCAATTTGGTTATTTTAGGAAAACAAGCTATTGATGATGACGCTGGTCAAACAGGTCAAATGTTAGCCGGTTTATTAAATTGGCCTCAGGTAAGAAAATAGAACGAAAAAAATTTCATAATCATGCGATTGGTAACATTATTTAATATTTTAGGCTACTTTTGCATCTAAAATTGACATTAGCGGAGACAGTATTAAAGTAACGCGTGAAGTCGATGGTGGTTTAGAAACAATTGGTAGTAAATTGCCTTCAGTCATTACTACGGATTTGCGGTAAGATCATTAAACGCATCTTATTTATAATCTTCAATTATATTAATATGGCAATTTTATTTTAGATTAAATGAACCCCGGTTTGCTACTCTCCCTAATATCATGAAAGCCAGGAAGAAACCCTTGGCTAAATTCACACCACAAGATTTAAATGTTGACATAACTCCTCGGCTAGAGACAATTTCTGTAACGGATCCGCCAACAAGAAAAGGAGGTGGTAAAGTAGATTCAGTGGATGATTTAATTTCCAAGCTAAAATCGGCCGGGGCTTTGTAATGAAATAAATATAAAAGAAACAAATGCTGTAAATTATTTACTTTGATTACTATTACACTATCGGCTTTCTAAATTATAATATATTTTTAAAAGCAATTGTAGTGTCAAGAGCTTTATATTAGTTGAGATGTTTAATTTTTATTCGGTCTGGCTTGATATCAAACCTTGATAAGTTAGATATTATATAGTTATTGAAATATGCAATAACTGCTGTATTTTATAGGCTATGATGGTTGGTTGGTAACCCAGCCGGTACGGAATGATCAGAAGAGAACATAAAGTACAGCAGTTGATACATACGGGAACATTCAATATTCAATGATTTACTATCTCAGTTTATGAATAATTTTATAATATAAACAGTACCATTTATTTTATAGACTGATCATAATAAACATTGAATAAAATAATATTTATCTATTTATTATTTATTGACGTATATCATACTTTGGGTAACGTTTGCATTTACTTATCGTTATTAAAATGACAGCACAATTTAGGTACGTACGTACGTACTTTACTAAATCATTTTCCATTCGAAATTCTACGGGCAGCATGTTGTTACTAGACTAGACATGGTTCAGGACACAGGAAACAATTAGGCATTCCATAAGAGCTTTTGAAAATTCTACGAACAGTGCGCAAAGTCATGAGATTAATTAATTAGTAGTTAGGGCAGATTTTAATAATATCACCTAACGTTAAGCACTGCTTGTCAGAGTATTTAATCGAATAAAGTCATAATTGTATATGATGATTAAATTAATTACTTTCTTATTAAATTAAATCTATTATTATAGAGCTTTATAAACTTGCATTATATTGAAATAAAATTATTTTTTAAAAAAAAATTATTAAAATAATTAAATTTAAAAAATTTTTTTTCTAAGCAGTTTTGCTAGTTTTTATTGGTAATTAATTTAAAATTTAAATACGTATTACTAGACAAAGATTGAATATGTTATTATAGCCAAAGACTAAGTTTGATCAAATCTGGGCCAAAAACAAAATCCCGGCAAGGTTATAATTTAGCTTGCATTAATTATAATTCTAGTTAATTTTTGGTAGAGTTGTGTTTGTTGGAGTTTTGATTTTTTTCATTTTGGCAGATATACCATTTTTTTTATTTAAACTTACTGGTTTGTACAAAACAATTGTTAACTAAATATAATCAAAGATAATATTTTATATATATAAGCTTCTTTTTGGAATTTATTTATTTATTTATTTTTTCTTGTATCGGCAGTCTCGCTGGTATCTTTATTAGATCAAAGTATATGCACAAGATGTACTTAAACTATCTAAGTTACAGATCCGATATCACTTGGCTGCCCCTAAGGGTGTCCAAGTGCGGTCTGCCTCACTAGTTAAGGCTATTGCCTATACCAGGGGGCTATACCAAGCTAGCTTAAGAAACCATCACAGATGGTTTCATAACAAATGAATTTTTAACTAAATTATATTGGCAATTTTCCCATTCTAAACTATCTATCTTTTTTGAACAAGGTTCTAAATCTAATTTTCTATGAATAAACCAAAAAATTTCTTCTTTCGACACAGGGATATTGCCAAAACTCTCTCGTTCATATTTATATTTCTTTTTCCTTTTCCTTCTCTTCTAGTTTAACCTGTCCTTTTCAATTTGAGACCCAGGTCTTGAAAGTCTTCTCTTGATCTTTTCTGTAACCTTTTCTTCCTGGTTTAAGGCTTTGTACTTTCTTTCTTCTTCTGCTTGGAGGCTTAATCGATCGGTTTCTTCTAGAAAAATTCTTCTATATGTCCTCTTTTCCTTCAAGTACCTTAAGTTTTCTTTCTGTTTCTTTGTTTCAGAGTCTTGATCAATCTGCTCGAGTTCTCTTTCTTCCGTATTCTGGGTATAAGAATCTTCTTCTCTTCTTTTTTTGGTCTTTTTACTCTTCTTTTCTCTCCTGAAACTTGGTTTTCTTCCCAAGAATCTTTCTTGTATTTTGCTAAAGATCGTTTGATTTTCAAGATGTTTTACAAAGATCTTTTCTAGTATTCCTAACAATATGTTCTTCTTTTTCTTTTTTCAATTTTAATGCCCCATGGCCTAGACATTACTGTGTTCTGCGATAAGTTCGTATTTGAGTTCCATTGGGATTTCTGTCTATATATCTATTTCGCTAACAGATCTTTTTTTTTCTTTTTCACATTTTCTTGTTATATTGTGAATCATTCTTAATGCTAATTTGATATATCACTTCTGTCAACCAATCTTCTGACATCGCAAATGTGATTTTTGGTCTTGATTCCTCTTGAATTTTGTTTAGTGCTTTAGCTTTTGTGAGACTAGGAATATCTTGTTCTTTGCTTTTGTTTTGCTTTTCTTTTCTAATTTTTCTTCTTTTTCTTTTCT